CCCCCCCCTTGGCCTCAAGTAGCATTGGAGTGTTTTATCTAAGAGCCCTAAATGGAAACCCATAAAGCCGGCCTAGGCACTACAGCGGCCTGACGCTGCTGTCAGAGCTTCTGGTCCAGCACCCACAGCTGGCCTGGCAGCCTAGAGTGGCCTGAAGGCTTTGCTTGCCAAGTGATCCACAGAAGGCGCCACTAGGCACAGCATAGGTTTTTAAATGTCGTGACTGAAGAAACAATTGTCAAATGAGGGCCAACACATCAGAGACGCTCTTGGGAGGAACCGCTCCAATACCTTGTTGCCTCCCTGCCCTACACCCAAAGTTTCTGATCGGATGCAGCTGGATAATGGCCCTACCTGAAGCTGAGGGTGCAAGACAGCCCACACAGCCAATCAGGCGACAACATGAAACCAGTTGAAGAGAGAAATCCATGAGACACAGGATGACGCGACTGATTTTCCGGTCATGTCACTCAGTGCTTAGAGATGCTGCTCAAGGGAATGTGTTCTGTTCGCAGCCACAAAGGGCAAAATGTATGCGGTCTTTTTGCTACAGAGCCCGTGTCAAGCATGAAAACAATCAGTGCGCAATGTGTAGGGTCCAGTCATCCAGACGAGGCCGGCATGCGGCATCAAGAGGGCGCCGACAAGCGCAAGGCCGGTCCATTGGAGGAGGGAGTCAGTGTTGTGCTTGCATGGCGATGATTCAATTATTTCAGCAGAAGAGGGATTGTGGATATTACAAAAGCAGAAGAGTCAAAACGAAAAACCGTTTCATCCCCTCCTCTCAACAAGTCCTACTTGAAACCTCAAGGAGCTGAAGCTGTCTCCCCAGCTTGGGAGAATTCCCGCGCCTCCATTCACCCAAAGGGCGCTTGTCATCCCATGCAAGGGTTCTTACACAAGTACGCCGCCCCAAAGACAAGGACGCGTACCTGAACCAGCTGGTGTTCCAGCTTTGTCAAATACATTCGCCGCAGGAAAATGCGGAAAAGGCGTTCTCCAACGGTTTGTCGCTTTTGCCTGGCTCTACACCAACCCTGCAGAGGTTTCAGCAACAATGCTTTTTGACACCGCCGTGCACCTTCTTCACTGCAGAAATGAGGTTGCTCAAAGTCAGCGGCTTCAACCAGAACAAGAAATTAGTCAATTGTGAAGACCTGTTTGTATAGGACAATCATTGTTTCAGGAGCTGGTTTTGTGTTTCTGTTGTTTTGCCTTACTGGTAAGGCACCCAGCAACGAAGCAAGTGCTCCACCCCACACCCCAGAAGATGTCGGTCGGGAAGCCGTTCAAGCGGCCAGACTCATTGGGTGAGCGACGTGGGCAACGATGGTTCTGGAGACCCAGATTGGATCCGAAGCCATGGGATCCTTGTTACCAGTTACTAGTAGCTTCTTGTTCCGAGTGGCAAGTTAGCTACTAATAGTGATGCACTTGTAACTAGTAGCGATGCACTTAGCTACTAGTAGCTTCTTGCCATTCAGGAGCGGGCCCGTGCTATTTTTCAGGCCTGATGACCTGATGTAGGTCCCACTGGCCCCCACTTGACTCACAGTCGGATAAGTTTGCCAGTTTGCCATGCTTCATGTGGCATTATTGGCTCCTTTTTGAAGTCACTGTTTGGATTGATCGGCAATGTCTTGCCTTAGTTGAAAGGGGATCTCCTTCTGGTTGGCATTTGAGAGAAGGAACAAGTGACTATATAGTAGAATCCCGGTTTCGTCCTACCTCTAGGAGATACCCTTGGAGGAGTGTTGGAGGCTTTGGACTCTCAACATCAGCAACTTTAGGGCTGACGGCTTGGATAGCTCGCCCAAATGTCCGATAGCAGGCGAGTGAGAAAGCTCCATGTCAGCCATGTTCAGTGTAGTTCTTCAAGCGATCCTCGCTTCATCGGTCAGCAACTCTTCAACGAAGCTGCAGTCTTGTTGACGAGGTGTTTTCCTCCAGACGGTGATCCCCAACTGGGGCACCGATCACAAGCACTTCGCACTGTGGAGCGCGGGCTTTGGGCGTGATAACATGTGGGAGGAGAGTAGTCTGAGTAGTCCAAAAAGAGAGACGGGCATTGTTACTAGTAGCTTCTTGTTACTACTAGTAAGGCACTTGTTACTAGTAGCGATGCACTTGTTTTCTAGTAGCTTAGTGTTACTAGTAGCTTCTTGTTACTAGGTTCGATGCCAGGAGCCCCTAGTAGCGTCCTTGCTCCTAGTAGCGGCGCCCTTTGCTCCTAGTAGCTTTAATTCTTTTTAGTTTTTTAATGTCTAGCGTGTCCTTCACAGACAAAGCCACAGAGAAGGTTTCGCCATGTACAAGCTTGGGTGTGAAGCTTCAGGGAGTTTATATAATGAGGTACGAAGAACAAGCATGCCGTGTGGGTGGGAGTGGTTTGTCTTCATGAAGAGGAAGGGGTTGCTCCATTCTGCAGGGAAAGGAGACAATTACAGAGCCCTGCCACCAACAACCTTCAACCGATTCATGTCTTCCTGGAACTCACTTTCGCACGAAGCCTGGATCAACCCGAGAGGTGCTGGAGTACGTGATTCATGAAATTCATGACCACCCCTACTATCCCTGGCACCATGTCCCGAAATAGATTAATCCACTCCTCAGAAGAAGGCCTTCACTCACCACGCTGTTGCATTGACCAATGTAACAATTTGTTCAATCAATCATGTTTGATCTCCGCCAGATTATTCTCTGCCAGATCCAGCACTTCTTTAGCCACGAGAGTTTGGAATAGTGTATGTTTGTCTACAATGATAGCTTGGCCTTGAACCCCTTAGAAGCCATCCAGAAGCTGCGCAGGAAGTCCGTCAGCAAAATGGCTAAGCGTATCCTTCCAGCCTCCGTGGAGGACCATGATCACAATCGGCATATTAAAATCGTCCTTGTCATGATGCTTGATGCGAATACACATATTTGATCATATATATATATATATGTATATTAAGCAGAAGTCAATATGTCAATATGCATCAATATGCGTGTGTTTTAGGAATTTTCAGAATGTGGCTATTCTTGAACTGCATGATATGTAGATCGATGACCAAAACAGTTTGATTACGGCCCATGTTTCTTCCGATGAACACCAACTGACTTTAATCTCCATCAAACCATTTCACGGTTGGTTGACGTTTCTTGAGCCAGTTGTCATACATTAGGAATCAATATACCCAGAGCTTCCTCGTATGCTGGCAGAACTCATCCCGGCCCAGGAACACTTTCCCTGGATGAAGCTGCCTGGATTCCCAGATATTGAAATACAGCTTCGGAAAGGCGTTGATTGTAAGAGAGAATCTGAACATGCCTGTTTGTGGCATGTTCTGTTCAAGTCAGATTGAATTACCAGATTCTACTGAGGTTTTCTCATGTCAATATTGCGACTACGCTTCTTCCCATTTCTTCCCAAATCGTTTTCCTGGACTCACGCTATTCACGAGGCGGAGTGGCATTGGGCGCTTCGCCCTCAACCCAGAGCATCATTTGGACGATAGCACTTGGTTGATCCGCAGCAGCGCGCAGGCACCACTCCAGAGACTTAGTTAAATTTCCTCCGAGACACCTGATACAAACAGATGCACAAAGATGAAAGCATAATCTGAAACTGAAACCAGATCTTTCTTGTGGTACACACGTCTCGGCCTCGGGTTTGTCCCTATTCGAAAACCATGGACCCATCAAAAATGGACGGCAGGTGCATCTCTTCAGCGAGTGGGCGCTCTTTTGGGACCTTTCGAAGAAGGTGCGGAGACCGAGTTCTGCGCCCAGGGACTCCATCTGACGTTGGGAGTGAGGACATGGGACAACACATGGGGTGACGCACGCCTCGCATTCATCTTGGAGCGATAGCTTTGTTCCTCAAGACGAGGGGTTGTTGACTGGGTTGGTCAGTTGATCAGTACTTGGAAAGCACACGTGAAACAGCTGTCCTAGCAGGACCGGAGCTGAGCTCAAACACGCGTGGCACTATTATCAAAGAGCCATGGTTCAAACGGCAACTACTGTAGGCATTAGTAGGTCATGCCACATTGGAAACAGAAACATACAAAATCCTACACCTTAATGTTGGTATATGTTCGTATAATATGCAGTGCTATTCCCACCTAACAGATCCTAACAGCCTACTGTTACTTGAGTGAAAGTTGACTGCAGCGGCTTTATGAAAAGTTGAACTGACAGAGTTTCTGAAGGTGGAAAACCCACCATTTTTGCCAATACCACAGTCATGTCCGACATTCAGGATTTGTTTGAATAGAATCTCTAAAGAAGATACATCGACAATCGTGCGCTTACCCTCCGTTCAGACCCGGCTTGCACACGCAGCAAGGTTCTTTTGGAGAAGTCACCGTCAAATGTCGCGGGGCACCCTAGTCGCTGAGAGTGCCAAGTGGAGACCGGACAAAGGTCAACAGGTTTGTTCATCCATTTGTAAGTGAGGATGAGTGAGGTATGGCTTTTGTACTGGAGGGCGCATCGTTAAAGTTACATTCTTGCAAACCAAGAATGTTCATGCTGGTCAATATATAAAGCAAAAACGCCATCAACACAGGAGCATCCATTGTAGGATGAACAAGGGCATTGCAGTTTTGGTTCAATAGTTGTTCGTGCATGAAGTACATCCAGCCATGGAATGCGGCCGCGTAGCAGGTCTTATCGCCTTTTCTCCATCGCCTTTGGTCCTTGGATCTCAACACCCAGAGCCGGATGCCTCGGTCCTTTGGGGAGTTTCCCCCAGCTTTATATAGTGCAACATAGTGCAACAACATTCATATGTCGTTCTTCCGGAATTCTGTGCTCTAAGGTAGTCAGGTAGTCTTGCCTCACGGGTTTGACTCTTCCGTTGAAGCAAATGGAATTTGCACTGCCAAGTTCTGAAAATCTGGAGGCCATCGCTAGTAGGTTGGAGGCCATTACTACTATAGTAACAAGAAGCTACTAGTATCTGAAAGCTGCGAACATTTCGTAGCTTCACCAAGGCCCTGGGCGCTTCATCTTCCAACAGCGCCACCCGCTGGCCGTGGCGATTGCCACCAGACGGCGCTTGGGGCCACTCGTTGGGTGGCTCAGGAAACAGGAGAAAGGGAGGCCGGCTTTTCCCCTTGTTACTAGTAGCTTCTTGCTACTAACTAGCCGACTTTTCCCATGTCGCTAGGGGAATCCTCTTTCAACATGTTGCTTGCACCACATTTGTCCCAGATAGGCCCAATGCATCCCAACGCCTCAAGCTTTTGCACCCACCAGACCCATTCAGCATAAAATGATCCAAATCACAATGATCCTTGGACCTCATCTCCTCAATGCGCTGCTTTAGGGAGTTTTGGTGCTCGGAGCAGCTCCCGAGGTTGATGATCTGAGCATGAAAGACTTGATGGAGAACTGGTTGGCTGCAGAGGCCCGCTCTGGCCCTTGTCAGCCGGACTTGAAGCCCTAAGCGTCAGGACATGGTTTTTCTCCTCTTGAGCTTGTGTCACATTGTGTCACTGTCCCCAATAGTTTCCTGGAAACTTCGACATCTAATGCATCAAGGTGAGTCCAAATCCTTTGAATCTTGAATGCGACAAACAAGACCTTGCATAGACTCCCATGCAAGCTTCAGTGTGAGGTCCTCAAGCAACCCGTTGATTGAATCAAATGTTGATACCTCCGTTGGAATTGGGGAGCCGTCAGACGAATTCCGCCAGTGACCTCTTGGGGGATCCCGAACCGCGTCGGTTAGACAAAAGGGCAGGGTCGAGTCAGGAAGGCATTCATGTGCCATAGTCTGAGTCTAATGCAGACACGCGTACCATCATATCATCTTCGTCCTACCATCAGTTACCATGGATGTCATCAGTGACCAGTTTTGTTAACAAGAGCCACCAGGAATCCATAGGAATTCTATGATGAATCGCAGAAAGGGTTTTAGGAAAAACGAGGATGGTGCAGCAGCATGTTCCCTTGAGCAAACGTGTTCACTACGTGACATACGCAGATATCATACGGCGTTGGTCCCCAAAATGGTATTTCCCTAAAGCAAACGAGCAACTTCTTGAGCAAGGTGAACTCCGCGCGCCGTCCTTGCTCCTAGTAGCGATGCCCTTTGTTGCAAGAAGCGTCCTTTGTTCCGTCCTTCATGTCAATGCTTCAAGCAAGACCAGGACATATCCAAGCTATGGCAAAACTGCAAATCGAGAACTCCTCTCTTCCATGCATTGGAAGCACGAGATGCCGCTTCACATCCGTTCTACACCCCTGTCTTCCTTTGCAAAACCCCCTCGGGAAGCCCCCATCCCCTGACCGCTCCAGGAGCGCAGAGCCAAGGCCCAGAGCTTCTATGGTGGGGGTGGAGCCACCGGCACGTCTATTTTGCATGAGGAATTCCTTCAATTAGTTTGAAAACCGTGCTTGAGCATGAGCAGTAGTTTGAGACATCATGAGCAGGCAATCTACCCTTAAAGGAAGTAGATGCGGAGCCATTTAGAGCAAAATAGCATTGTCTTCAGTCTTCATGTGGTTTGTTTCTAGGACAGTGTGGCACACGGGGCAGCCAATGCTTGACTTCTTCTGGATGATTGCAGGTCCCAATTGTTCACCAATTTGAACTCTTGCAATCCAGAGGCAAGATTAGATAAGATTAGCTTGTCATGCCATGGCCACAACGAAATTTGTTCCAAAATGGTGGACAAGGTTCAGACCCCTCAGCCCCTCAGCTGGTATGCTGTACATGAACCCTGCCAAGGAAGCATGTATGAGACCTGACTTTGTGTTTGTTATATACCTAGCGTTGAGCCATGCCAATCATTAGAAGAAGATCGAACCCAGCGGACACAATTGAATCGTTGCAGATCCGGGGGTGACTATCCTTGCAAGATGTGCCCCTGTGTGTTTCCTGCGCCCCCTGCGTGGTTCACAGCTGTTGCACACAGGACATGCAGTCCTACTTCGAGTACTACGGCTTTGCCAAAGACGTGTTCCGCATCGTCCAGTTCGAGGAATAACGATGGTTGCCGCCTCACAAGCCATGGCTTTTGGGTTGGGCATGTTTCATGGGCACCAAGTCTCGTCAAGGACAGATTCACTTGTCCCCAATGGAGTGCTCTTCAAGCTTGCCCTGTAAGTCCCTCAAAATGAGGGCATGTGTAGATTGGTGTTTTCATGCGAGGTTGACTGGGGTCTTGCATCGCGCGCGCACACACAGACTCTTGAAATTGCTTTATATGTCCCATACCATATATATATATATATGTACTGTATATATATATATACCACTTTTGCTGCCCTGTACATAGATGCCTTTTTGAGCTAAATCGGCGACCAGTTCTTGACAAGTTGGAGAACTCAGACACTGGGTGTTTGACGAGGCCAACATTCCAGAGGGCAAAATATGCATGCCCCCACCAAACCAAGATGATGGCACTTGTCCGTCGCAGCCATCGACAGGACCTCATTCGAGATCCAGAGAAGGTGGTGCAGAGGGCCGTTTGGGATGTTTGATAGGAGGACCCGTCAAGAACCCAAGTAAGTGGGTGTGCAATTGCTCAAGTCTAAGTGTGTGATGTTTTGAGTTTTGTTGTCCACACAGGATGCGGTTGTGATGACTCAATAAGTGCGAGTTCACTAAGGTCAAGGAACTTGCACTCGTAGAGGTCTTGTTCTGAATGAATGGTATTGGCCTCTTACATAAATAATCCTCATAGCTTTGGTGTGTCTCAACTAATGGGGTCGGTTAGAATAGTTCAGTTCCCTTTACAAAATGTTCTACCAAGGGTTTGGGTTCTCCGATTCTAAGTCACATCGTGACGGTTGAAAGCCGGAAGATACAGTACAGACAATGCAGGCAGATCTCCTCCACAAGCCTGCCCCCCTTCCTTGAGAAACCCTGAACATTCCAGCCTTCAAGTTGTTCAGCCTTTCCTTGCAAAATGTGCCTGAAAATGCTTCAACTTCTTTGCCCAAGCAAGCTCGTTGCAAGCGAGTCGCCCATTCAATTGGCGTTGCAACCTGAATTTCTTTGTAAAACCACTCTGGTATGGTGTGCTCGATGATATGAGCATATCTCCTGTGAATTCCCCCGAGCCTAGCCTAGCTTATCATTTCAAACCCTCTTGAGTCTTCTTTTGTTGAGAAGCTAACTCATCACCAAGTCCGTAGCAGGCGTTTGATGCTGAGGTATGTGACAATCACCTGGTGGTGGAAGACTGGGCAGTGAATGACATGAAAGGTGTTGATTTGCCGCTTATGTCTTCTGACATCGAGGGTAGATTTACCTGTTTGAAGATAATAACGATGATAGTGGGCATAGTGGATTTCAGACTGATGATTCCCTCCCTGCTTGGATCCTACCTTCTAAAAAAGGGTGCAAGTGGTTGGCCACATACGAGTCGCCGCTTGCCCCAGCACGACATCTTGCAAAGAGGTATATCTTAATCTACTAAAATCACACAGCGTGCTGTGTTCATCTGATAATCTGAGGGTTAAAGAGTTAAAGGTGTCCATGGAGGCCATCTTCCTTCTTCTTGTGAAAGTTCAGGGGTGAGCGAAATAGCGCGTGTCCCTCTTGCACAGGATGTGTTTGCCTCTTGGAGTGGTGTGCCGCTGTGTCCTGGGGCCTTTCTGATGTTTTTGTCTCACCTTACTTCTATATATTTCTTCTTTCTTTCTTGGCCACGAGGGGCCTGACCTCATACAAAATGTTCCAGCTTTAAGCCTTTGCCACATGACAAAAGCAAACAATGGAACATCTCAAGCCACCCATGAATTCAGCGGCGAGGTTGAAATGGCAAGTCGAACGTAACCTCAATTGGATACTTAGAGGAGCATGAGCGAGAAGCAATGGACCGAGTCCGAAGCCAGAAAGACACACACACCATGAAATCAGAGCGAGAACTGCACAGGGGCTGGGGCTCCAGCCAGCAGTGTTCCTCTCATGTATCCACAAAAAACACCCAGGAAGACCAACCTTGAGAGCGACACATTTTGGTAGAGTTCCAAAAATAACGGTTCTTGCAATATCAAATGTAAGTACTAGACTGTACCATATCAAGCTCCGGTGTTGCAACTCGAAGATGAGAATCAGCTTGCTGAAAAGAAATCCTGCTCCTCATTGGCTTTTGACGTAGAAAGCATTGACACTAGCCACATAAAGGAGCAAGATGTTTCACGGATCAAACCCTGCCATGAATCCTGCAAAGAAGAACAAAGCATTCACAATCATGTACAAGAGAGAGAGAGAGAGAGAGGGAGAAGATGTTTGCACGCCTTTCCACTGGACACAGAACTTCTTGTCATGGTTTGTCTCAAACTCTTCTCAACCCAGTTGCCAATAGCAGCTAGCGTCCATTATAGGGATCTCGTGGTTGTAAGGATCTGCAACCTACACATGTTACGTATTGAGGCATGCCATTTGTGCACCCTTGCAAAGCAAATCTCTGAGCCCACGTCAAGAGCCGTGTCAATGTGAGTGAAACCTTTGATGACACCCTGCTGTGTACCCTTGCATCCCAGAGCGAAAGAAGGTGTTCTCCGCATGGCCACCCCATGCCTCGATCCGCACAAAGGCTCCCAGGTGGATATCGCAAGCTCGCCATTGTCGTCCACCAGGGGTGGTGTCTATAGTCTATGCTTCTTTTGACAGAATACACACCCGGGAACACAGATTGTGACCGTGTTTCTCTTTGAGGAAAGTCGCTCAAAATCTTTGCCCATGTCAATGAATGTTGGTTCTCAGCAGGTTGTCTCCGAGATCTTTGCTTGGCTGGGCCTCAGCTTGCCGGCGGAGGCCATACAAGCGATCAAGGCCAGAAGCTTAGGGCCATTGCGAAAAGGGTTGCTTCATGTTGGTTCTATGAGACAAGGTGAGGAAAGCTACGAATATCCTGAACTATTCAAGGCAAGAATGATTACGAAAGCCAGCCTTCATAGAAGGCGCCAGCGGAGTTGTGTTTGGCGAACGAAGGGGGTGGCCCGCAAAAGGTACACGTAAACTCGGCACATGCTGGGGGAGGAGGGTGCCTCGAGGGAAGGTTTTTTGAGGTTGTGTTGGAGGTGATTTTTGAGGGGTGGTGATGCAAGAAATGCAATCCGCATCATTTGCATCATCTGAATGGAAAGGTGTAGTTGGCACCTTGCCAGGTATAGAGACCCAGGGTAGCTATAGTGCAGCTACCAGGTATAGTACTTCAAGTTCCCTTTCCGTCAACCGCTCGATAACCTCTACACACGCACAGCAATCCACAGCTTTGAAGCCTCATGCGCGCGATGCCTGGGAACAGAAATGTAGCTACCGTGGGTCCGTATGAATGCTATGTTGCTATACCTCTTACACACCTATACCAGTTCAAAGCACGAATGAGACTTCATAGCTGTGGTTTGCTGTGCATGTGTGGCTCGAGAAAGATATACGTAAACTCTGGAAGGTGATGCTTTGATGGTTTTGGAGCGGGTGGTGACGCACTCGCCAACTAGAACATATACCCTTCAATAGGAACTCGAACAGCTCAAATCCAGAAGATTCTGAAAATGGCCTGGCTCCCTATATGAACCCTGGGAAGACTGGGAAGCGAGGAGGTGGAAACTCCTTTGCTCTCGCTTCGCAGGCCTTCATTTTCAAGGTGGCCTGAACAGAGTGTTTTAGGGCAGCAAACCCTGGTCTCAGGCCACCTTGAATTTAGCGTGAAAACCACAGCTTTGAAGCCTCATGCGCGCGATACCTGGGAACAGAATTGTAGCTACCCTGGGTCCGTATAAATGCTATGTTGCTATACCTCTTACACACCTATACAAGTTCAAAGCACGAATGAGACTTCAAAGCTGTGGTTTGCTGTGCATGTGTGGCTCGAGAAAGATATACGTAAACTCTGGGGGGTGAGGCTTTGATCCTTTTGGAGCGGGTGGTGACGCACTCGCCAACTATACCCTTCAATAGGAACTCGAACAGCTCAAATCCAGAAGATTCTGAAAATTGCCTGGCTCCCTAGATGAACCCTGGGAAGACTGGGAAGCGAAGAGGTGGAAACAGCTGGGAGGTCTTGAACTTTTAAGTAAACAAAAGGCCACACTCAAGCAGCAGAAGGACAATGTGCATCCTCTGCTCTCGCTTCGCAGACCTGAACAGAGTGTTTTAGGGCAGCAAACCCTGGTCTCAGGCCACCTTGAATTTAGCTTGAAAAATTGTCTGTTTTAACAAAAGCCTTGTCACAGAGACACCTCAGGACCCTTGCTTCGCATATCTTCATTTTTGAGGTGGCCTGAACATATAGTTTCGGGCAGCGAGCCTCTGGTCCCAGGCCACCTCGAATTTTGGTGCATTGTTTGGCTTTTGCTTCATCTGAATGTGGATGGGAATTATTTATGTGTGAAGTCGGTAGGGGGTCGGGGGGGTGGCCCGAGAAAGGTATACGTAAACTCTTGGAGGTGATGTGTTCGTGATTTTGGAGCGGGTGGTGCTGCAAGAGTGCATTTTTGTTGCTTTGACATGGTTACCTATGTGTCGGCAGAACAAGACATGAAGCAGATTTGACACGCGGCCGCAAGCGGCTGCGCGAGCTCATTTGATTGCTTCGACGCGCAGTTGTCGAGAAAGGGAAGCGCTGGCTTTCGTTTTGCAGCTTCTCAGGTTGTTCCAATCTCATGCCTGTTTTTTGCACCGGCTTAAGAAAGCTGAGAGTCATTCAAATGCCCTTGATTGCAAGAATTCTCAAGTATTGAAACCGAACGTTTGACACTTGGGGTTTCAGAACGGTGGTTCTAAAATGTTCTTAAAGCCTCTTGGGAACTCTTGGTCCGGCTCCTGCCAATTGAAGTGTGCGTGAAGCATTTGTTGCATTTTGTGGTTGGGGTTTGGGCCATGGGAAAGTGGGGATACTGGAAACTGCTACGCAAGGCTTTGGCTATCTAGGTTTGCTACTGTAAATTTTGGTCGCTCCGTTTGTGAGCTCGCACCAGATGGTTTGGCGTCAACATTGCCAATTACCTCCTAAGTTCAAGCAAGTTTGTTGGCTTTTTTGCGCTGGCACAAACAAATTGTCCGACACTGCAAACTTAATATACAAAATCCAGAGTTGTTCGACGTAACCGACTAAGCTAGTGACTGGCTTACTTTGCCCAGAAGTGGGATCATCCCTACTCTGATCATCCACAATGATTTGACTGTTTCGCTCCCGCTTGGAGGTGAATGCAAAATCCAATGATCAATATTTGTCCGTGGGAAGCTGCCAAGTTTTTTGTCTCCCTTTGTTTCCTTGCGTAGAGTAGCACCGTTTTGTTTCAAGGTGCCCTGAGGCATCCCAAAGACATCCCCTAAAAGGTGTGATCTCGAACACCCTGCATGCAACAGTGCCCGAATCCGCGGGTCCCACAGTGTAGTCACCCATCAAGTCGCTGTAAGCATGAAACGTTGAAGTCTTTGTTCCTGGCTTCATAGGTCAAAGTGAGAAGCGATGTGAACGTCAAGCACTTCAAGCAGTATTGTGTTTGGGCGCCTCAGGATGTTAGATGTCGGAGAGCTCTTTCCTTGATCGCTGGAATATACCACGGATGGGTTTTGCAGGTTTCGTGGTGCTCGAAAAGGCCCACCTCTCGAGGGCCAATTTGCCAAGTCTTATTGACTCCATTTGGCACAAAGCGCTCACAAGCCTCGTGGAGATTTTAGAGAGCGGGAGAAAGAAAAAGGGAAAGCATCCTGTCTAGCACGAGAGAGGAAGGTCGCCTCCTTCGTGGCTTGTTTCAACAGTCCTTTGGTACTGTTGGTTTGAGCCAAAGGGATATATAATAGGCAGGCCAAAGAGGTGAAGACGAGCGAGAAACTTTAAACCAAGACTGGAAGCCAGGCCTAGAGGGGCAGGAATAGCAGTCAACTTGACCAGAAACAGACGGCCTTGGGCAACCACACATAGCGCGCAGTAGCGCAACCATCCGTAGAACACGTCCCGAGACTTCCACATTCACAGATCCACTGCCGACGGGATTCCTGCAGAACTTCCTGGTGCATGGCGGACACCAAGCAGTTGAGGAGCACCACAGGCGCCAGCGTTGTGGTCGTCCAAGGGCGTGGACACCACCAGCCACAGGGATTGAAGGTTTCACTACCATGTATTGGTTCCAGGACTTGTTTGCACCTGGTTTGATGGGAAACATGTGGGTGTTTAATTACGTTTAATCCATGTGAGACTAGACCCTTCAAAGGTTCCGCAGGGAGCGAGACCTACAGCAATGGACCAATGTGATGCAGCTCCACCATCCCTACTGATTGGTAAACAGACCTACAAGTCATCAACGCAAAGCTTTCGACCTGCAACTAGTTCTGGTCACATGAGTCACGTGCGGCCGGAATCAGGGTGGAGGCCAAGCAAGGAGACGAAGAAGATTGTCATATGCTCTTGACCCGTGAGACGATCCCCATAATATGATCTCGCACTAACCCTGTAGCAGAAGACTTGGTCTGGTCCTTTTGTTGAGAAATTTGTTCCGAATGAAATACTGTATCTGTCTTAATGTGAAGTGGGAGGAACACCTATTTTCCCCGGCACGCTTTTGGACATACCCATAAACACAGTGCAACGTCGCAATGTGAACGATGTATTCGCAGGAGACCGCTCATGTCATGAATAGTCGGGCTACACTTGTGGTTCAATGTTTCCTTTGATCAAAGTAAGCGGTGCTGTAAGCGTTTGGAATGCACCAGTGCTCAGTTCCAGACTTCCAGAGTGTCTACAGCTGTTTTTGATCGTTCAGTGCCCTTGTTTGGCATAACCAGAGCCTGGCGTCCAGGCTAGTGAAAGAGCTGCGAGACCGGGTGCTCCACCCCAGTACAAACGGATCGCAGACGGATTGCAACGGGAATGTGTGTGAGATGCTGGGTGTCCAAAGTCTTTGGCAAATTTTACATTAGATTGCAGGATGGATTGGACTGTCAAGATGAGAATCTAGCCTTTTGGATCCTTTTGGCGGCATACTCCAAGCTAACAGTTGCAGTGAGGTTGCTCGTGATTTGTACGTTAGCTTGGAGAATCTTGGTTCCTCAGGCCAATCAACCTGTGGTCATGGAATCATTGCTCACCCATGAGGGTCCTCTGCCAAAAAACAAATCCATGGGGCATGGCCAACGGTGCCTAGGTGTGGCCATTGTTTTTTTGACAATACGATGAGGTCCTTCAATCAGGCTTTCTGTAAAATTGGAAGACAAGTTTCATCGGATCGTCCTAGGTGTGTAACATGACCACTGTGTTGTTCTAGAATCTTAGAACATCTTAGCACTCCACCCATGTTCTGTCTCCTCTCCTCTTCCGGTGAAGGTCAGGAAGGAATCCAGCCTCCCGCTAAGACACCGCCAGGTCAAGGCCGTGTCTGCTTATGACCTGGTAGCTTGACGGACTTTGGGAGGTGAGTCGGATTGGTCGGCAGTTCCTCAGATAGTAGCGTCGTTGCTCCTAGTCGTAAGGCCAGGAGCCCCTGGTAGCGTCGTTGCTCCTAGTAGTAAGGCCAGGAGCCCCCAGTAGCATCGTTGCTCCTAGTCCCATATTTGCAGTGGCCTGACACCGCTACTTCAATTTAAAGTCTCGAGGGCAACAAGGGATGCGGTGCAGGACGATTTCTTTTCGGGGCCAGTGCCCATGGGCAGCTGGGCTACCAGGCTTCATGGTATCAACCATGGCAACCATGGAAATCTTGCACCATGCATAGGTTGTTTGCTTGGTTATTCTTGAATAAACGTCCCATTCATCATAGTTGTCCAAGCCACTGGTGTACATGAGAATCACGAAGCATTTGACTCAATAAACTTGTGGAGAGGTGCGAAATGGCTCAACAACTCCAGTGTACTCTCAAGAGGAGCTTGGGTTGTGCTTTGATGTACCCTGTTGCTTTTTGTTGTTCACCGCTTTAATCTTGGGCCTTTGGTATTTTCATCCGTTCTAGTCCTGTGCAGTGGATGTGCAGAGCTATGTGTCCAAGAATCTTTGGCATGTCTCTGAGGGGTTAACCTTGCTATCCCAGATGCGTAGCTGTCACAGCTCTTTTTGTGTTTGAAGTTTGAAGATGGAGCCTCCTCCAAAAGGCGGGCCAGAAATAAACCCAAGAGGAAGCGACTAACCCAAGTGGCGCACAGTCCCTGAGGCCAAGGTGCCTCAACTTTGCCGTGAGGCCCGCTTGGAGCAAAGGAGTCGAATTAGCCAACCTGGGGTTGTCTGCATTGCTGTCTACTCCTTCTCCGCTAAATATATATATATATGTGTGTGTATGTATACATAGTGTTTTCTCGGACCTTTTTGGTTCAGCTGTCTTCGATCTCATGTATACGTATATGTTTTTATACAGTATATGTATATATGATGTCCTCTTCTACCAGCAGAACCACACATCATAGATGCTCATGCAAGATAAACATGAAAATGCAACCCGCAACTAAGCAACTTAAGCATGATGTTGGCTTTGATGTGTGCCTGTTTGCATCTAAGTCAAGTTGTTTCTTGTTTTAATTTTACTATTCCTACCGTTTTACTATTCCTTTGTCAGATTTCTTTGTTTTCTGAGCATACTTTCAACCGCTCTTCTTTTGAAACTATAGTGCAAGCCGAATTCGGCACGGAGGTTCCACCAAAATGCGCTGCCAGGTCTTGGTGAACCAGCAAACGGATCTCAACTACACCGAGCGGCAACAAATTGAGACAGCCACTTGGGTGTGTCAGGGCTGTCGCCCTTGGAGCTGTATGCAGAGGGTGGGACCTCAGGTTCAAACACGGCGTCGGTCCAAAGGGGTAGTACACACAGGCCAGCTCAGCGCAACTTTTTGTGGGCGAAGAAGATCTTGGGGCTGCAGGGGCTGTCACCCATCACAGCTGTGCGCAAGGCAAAACTAGGCATCCTTGCATCCATTCATCCATCCGTGGGATGAATGCATCGAGGTTCTTTCCGAGGAGGAGGCTTCTTTCGAGGTTGCTTGAGCCTGCAATCGGCACCACCAACCCTTGATCGATGTAGCTTCCAGAATGGGCTGGTCCAATGAGACTGCCCGTATGTACGAATCACCGGTCTCAAAATAGAATAAGATAGATCCAATCTAGAAAATAGTCCAACTTTGAAATAACTATCAGAAGTAGCGATCGGAAATGCAAAATGACACTGGCATAGACCCCAGATAGCGGGTGTATAGGTTTAAAGGACACGCCACGGACGGCTGTTACCGCAGCACGCAACATCAGACCAGTCCACCAATATGCGCAACATCTATCAGCTGAATGCCCCGCTTTGCCCAACTGATGTCACCCCTGGCATGACATGCCTGGCATGACATGACGTCATCCCTGGCATGACATGAGGACACCCCTGGCATGACATGATGTCATCCCTGGCATGACATGACGTCGCCCCTGCCATGCCATGTCACCCCTGGTGTCGCCCCTGCCATGCCATGCTGTCATCCCAGCACCAGCACCGCACCTGCATCAGCGCCAGCACGACAGTCACGACAGCAGCGTGGCGGTTTGTCACCGTTCACTGTCAGAAGCGGCGGTTGGTATCACCTTACTGTCAGAAGCGGCGATTGGCGACCCTTCATTGTCAGAAGCGGGCTGTCAAGAGCGGCTTTATATTATTGTAAATATTATATAACTTAGATATTTGATGGATGGATTTAATATAATATTTATTTCTATTTTATAATAAATAATATTAAATAAATCTTAATTAATATAAAATTTATATTGGTGGACGAGTATTGCGATGCAAGGTCGATATGAAGATCTTTTTTGATAAAATATTATTGTAAATTTGAAATTATATTTATATATATGAATTTGATTTTGATATATTAATATTATATATAATTGGTAATATGTTGGAATTTATCAATTTTTTGTTTATGAATTATATTGAATAAAATTATCGTCTTTTCTTCGGATATTATTCGAATTTTAAAAATTGATGATGATTCCTATTATATTCGGTTATTGTCCGGCATTTTTATGGATTGAATGCAAAATAAAAATATTCATTATAACATATATTTTTATTTGGGAATATATATATATCTTTATATATATTTAATATTGCGTATTCGAGGCCGAAATGATATAATAAATAATAGATATTTGATTGGAGATATTGTTATATTAATTTATTAAAAATCATTTATTCTCGAAAGTATTGCGAAGGGTTCTTCTGGAAAATCCTTTGAACACTGACACTTACACACACACATACACTGGAAGAGCGAAAGCATCCAAGTGCGAAGTATGCTAGTGTCAAAGTATGCAAGTATAAGTATGCAAGCATGATATGCAAGGGTGA